AGTTGGAGGTTGCTGTGAGCTGTAATGCCACGGCACTCTACCCAGGGGGACAGCTTGAGGCTCTGTCTCAAAAAAAAAAAAAAAATAAAAAATAAAAAATAAATAAAAAAAATAAAAGTTACAAAGAAATCAAGTTTATATCTATATCGTGAAAAAAGTGAAAATGAAATATTAATGATCTCTGCTTGATGGTAAAAGCAAAGCAAAAAATTAAATTAAAAACAAAACTTAAAAAGAATCTGGCTTCCTCAGTTTCTGTCTTGCTTCTTCTCTTACCATGTGATCTCTTTGTATACACCTGTAACCTTTCCACTTTCCACCAAGAGTTGAGGCAACATAAGGTCCCCACTAGATGCAGCTGCCTAATCTTAGAATAATAATTCAACTTACCAGCCACCAGAATCATGACCCAAACAAACCTCTTTTCTTTATAAATTAAACAAATTAAATAAAATCTAATATAAAATAAAAAGCAATGCTGACATAACAGAAATTAAAAACAAAAATAAATGGAACTGAACATCAAACTACTTCATAAGATAGAATCAAGGAGTTAAAAACAGCAAATTAAAAAAACAAAAAATTAGTCAACTAGGTAAAAGATAGACTCTCTAGAATGCTTCACTGAATCTAAAAGTTGAATATGTTATATAAGATAATTTAAGACACTACTACAAAGATTACAATTATAGGAGTAAACATTGAATAAATCACATAAGCAATTCTTTCAGTTTCTATTTACAACATTTCTATTCTATGACAATCAAAAAAATGATTTTGTAAAGGACAGTACTGTTCATAAGCAGATTCCCCACAGAGAACAAAAAAAGAAATTCTTTCTCAAACCCCAGAACTGATTAAAAAGCAATATACACCTAGTCATATGTAAAGAAATGAATTCTTTAGAACCTTCAAAAACTAACCACTGCTAAAAGCTAGTAGACCAATGATTTAATCCAGGAAGACAGATCTAATCAGGCCTATACTGAAGTAGTTAGCCAAGAGGGCCCTGATAGCACTGAGAGTATCACTTACTTTTGACATAAACAGTACTTCCACTTGGCAAGACAACTACATTGGAGGCAGGACTGGCAGGTCTTGGAGACTTAACCGTTGCTATGCTGCCACTTGGAACAGGGGTAGAGGTTGGGGTTGACGTGGTACTTGTGTAGGAATAGCAAACCACTACTGAAGGAACGATAAAAAAGTTTGCTGTTAACTTTCACCAAAACTGTCCAGGCATACAGAAAAATTATTTTTATTGCAGGCCAATTTTAATATTTTTATGTGATCAGAAGTTACAGGCCAGTACTAGGTATCAGGTCTACCAGTTAAAAGGTATTAATAACCTTTCCTGAAAATTGGCATTTAAATGGGTTTTCCCTATAACAACTTGTCTACAGTTGACACTGCCAATGGAGAAGAACTCAGTTACAAAGAAATCAAGTTTAAAACTATACTGAGAAAAATGAAAATCATTTCTCATTCATGGCACAGTTGGATAACAGGCACATACTTGTATTTTCTTTTATGCTAACAGCACCAATGATGGGATGATGGATAATTTTTCCCTGACCACAGCAATTTCCTATGTGGCCACTAGGGAAGAATCAAGGTAAGGTTCTTTTATTTAAACCAACTCACCGGTCATTTGCCATCCAAGTAGCAAAACAATAACTCAACTAAAATAATGACATCATATTTTAACCTTCCATTCAATGAAGAAATACAACTCACCAACAGCCAGAATAGCTTATAGGCACCATGCACTATGCTAAATCCTTTCCACACAGTTTCGCTAATTCTCACAATATCACATCCTCATTTTAAAAATGAGGAACCCAAGGCTCAAACAAGCTAAGACTCACTGGAGGTCTCATAGCTAGGAAATGACAATGTATGATTAAAACATATATTTGACTAGCAGAAAGCCTGCATTCTTTCCACTCTACAAGAGATCTGTTAGGTGGAAAGGTAAAAAAGTAGAAAGAGAAAAAAGATACCTCTCTAGCAATAAAGGAAACAGAAACTCAATGTAGACCAAGTATGCACAGAGATAGCTGCCTTCCTCCAAAAATAGCTTCCTTCAGCCTAAAACAGAGCCTGGCATGCATGAAAGAGTACCTCACTTTGCTCCACAGACCATTATTACACAAGAAGAGACAATTCTCCAGAGTAATCTGACAGATGCATTATTTTCAAGGTCATTTTTATGTAACACCAAACTAAACTACTGAAGTTAATCCAAACATGCTCTTTCAAATTTAATACTCTTGACGAGAAAGAATTCAAGGATTTTTAAAGCATGTGTTTATTACTACATTAAATAACAGTAAGTCTTTCTGCCAGGTAATGGATTCAGCACATTGGCTAGAACAGAGTAGTTTTACTATATCACTGATTCCAGAAAATCAGTGGTTTTTAAAATAAAATAAACCGGAGCTTAATTTCCTAAGGTTATCAGTTCAGTGTCTTTTTTAGCAGCTAAATGACTTCTGTCATTTTATTTTTGAACATCATCCATTAAGGCCCTCTATTCACTTCTAACAAAATACATGGATATCAAAAATTCATTCTAAGATTTTTATAATTTTGTAATTAACATAATTCACACTTTCACAAAAAGAAGATTTAATTTTGTCTAAGACTAAAACCTGACAGTTTCTACTTTCAGAATCAGAGCTGCCCACTATACCTTTAAAGACCAGGATAAAGTTGGATGAAAAATAAGACAACTTTTCTTGAACTTTTCTTGATGATTTTGAGAAAAGTAATCTATAACACAAAAATATTTTTCTACTCACCTTCCTTGCTTCCTGTTTCTGCAGGCACTGGAAGAGATGCATTGTGCTGGATAGCTGCATTGGCAACAGCATTGGCTGTTACGGTGAAGGCAGTTTGGGGAACCAGCCGGGGCATCAATGGCACCAATCGCCGACCTTCAATGGACCATTCTGAAGAGCTATTAGGTCCAGACATACTAAACAAAAAAGAAAGCATTGCTACAAGAGTTCGCAATGGTTAAAAATAAATTAAATATATTTTCTCAAATAAATAAAACTTTTAAATTATAAAAGTGCCCTGAGTGAATAAGAGACTTTATTTTAAGCAAGCAAGATCAAAATTATAAATAATTTTATAAATAAGTATAAATAATTCAAGAAATGTGTCACATACATTTAGGTTCTTACACATTTGTTTCTATAATTTGAATCTTATAATGAAGCATAATGGAAACTATGAAAATTTTCCAATGCCTTCTAAATAAACACAGGCTTTGGTTTCATTAATTTAAATCTTCTATCACTAATTAAAACCAGTATTTCTATTAACTTTTAGAACTTAATTTTGTAATTAAACCAAGAAAGTAAAAAGCACTCATACTTTTAAAAATCTTATTTTCCTTAATAATTAAGGATGGAATTCACTGAACCTTTGTAAAATTACCTAACTGCCTGCATGGCCAGAGGTTCTAAGGCTTTCAAACCAGGGAAACTGAGGCAGTAAACGAGGGGGAACTAGGTAGTAAAGGATAGACAGCTGTATATATAATAGCAGTGTTATTAATAAAGTATTATATTATTACCCTTCTTATTAAAAATAGACTAGATCTGGCTCAGTGCCTATGGCTCAAGCGGCTAAGGCGCCAGCCACATACACCTAAGGTGGCGGGTTCGAATCCCCAGCCCGGGCCCGCCAAACAACAATGATGGCTGCAACCAAAAAATGGCCAGGCATTGTGGCGGGCGCCTGTGGTCCCAGCTACTTGGGAGGCTGAGGCAGGAGACTCGCTTGAGCCCAGGAGTTGGAGGTTGCTGTGAGCGTGATGCCATGGCACTCTACCCAGGGGGATAGCTTGAGGCTCCGTCTCAAAAAAAAAAAAAAAAAAAAAAATAGACTAGATCTGAGGACAATGGAAAAACCTGCCACTACTTTTTATTTTTACTTATTTATGCCATTCTTCACTAAGGATTTGAGACAATTGGACTATCCAAGCAGATGGTACTCTCAGTTTCTTTACCCTAAATTTCTTGAGCAAATTTCATCTAGAAATTTAACCAGAGGTTGAAATATTAAAAGGTAGTTGTGTCATTTCTCTTGATATGATTCCATGAAAGACCCTAACTAATGATTAGTATCAAAGTTCCAAATTCACCCAAAAACAATCTCTTCACTAAATCAGAAATATTTCTGCACTTTTTTGGAAACCATAAATTCTACAGGTCAATTTAAAGACTCTGTATGTCCACTGATTCTTCAGATTTAGATGGAGTATACGAAAGCCCCTGTTGGTAGACAGTGGAATAATAATGATGATGATGGTAGTGGTAATGATAACAGATAACATTAAGCACTCACTATATATCAAGCACTATTCTAAACATTTTCCATGTATTAACTCTCAATAATCCTTTAAAGTTGGAGGCATCATTACTTCTATTTTATAGGTGGGAAAACTGAATCACAGAGGAGTTAAATAACTTGCCTAAGGTCACACAAGTAATAGATGTCTCCTTCAATAAGCATATTATCATGCTACTGAAATTATCTGGCACACCTGTCTAACTTTTGCCTTTGATTTATATATACCATTTGGGCACTGCTGTCAAATTTCACTAAATAGAATAAATGACTTTTACAATTTAAGAAGGATTTAAGTTCAGTTCTGCAAGGAATTTCTAGGAGCTGATGAATACAAGAAGGAATATAAATTCCTTCATGGTTCAATACAGTCCTACCTAGGAAAAGGAAAAGAGGTATTCTTAAAACCCCGATAACTCTCACAAGTCTCCAAATTGATGCTAGTCTGAAACAGAGAATGGTACAAATGAGAGATAGGAAAGGGCTATAATTGCTAGAGGAAAAAATTCTAAAAGCTATTCAGAATAATTTTTTTGGCTTACTCCTATCTTCCTATCATTTTATTAGAATATCACTAATAAACTTGCTTGGTGAAAGCTTACCACAAAAATAAAAACACGTCTACACTTACCTGGTGCATTGTTTAAAAGGTAGCAGAAATTATGGAATATTGCTAATCAGAAGCACATGAATATACGTTATTAAAAAGATGAAATTTGCAGTGCAAAAGACACAACTGCAACTTTTAGAAAGATCTATAACTCTTCCAAATTTCCACTCATGCAAACATGCTTAAACTTTCTTTTTAAGTGAGTGAAAAATCAAATAGCATATTAGAATTAGGTAAAAAAATCCTATTTGTTTAGCATTAAAGGTGTAAATATGAATTAGTTGCAGAAGTGATTTAAGCTAAATTTTACTGACTAAACATTTTCCTTCAGGACTTCACTGGGATACTTCAGTCTCAGTAGAGACTTAAGAATGCCTCTCTATTTATTCTAAGTACGGCCTCTCCATTTAAACTAATTACGGACAAATATTGCTTCAATCTCTTTTCTAAGATAAAACTAATGAAACTACCTTGGTTCTCACATCCTTGAGTTGTACAAGGCACCAGTAAGAAATCCTCATCCCCACACAGAAACTCACATCCTGCCCTGTAAATTTATAACTGATGGGGAAAGGGTTAATAGAACAGAAATTCTAGATAGCCACATGTGGGTAAGAGTGGCCCAGGTAAAAAATGCGAAACTCCTTGACATACAAGGCTTCAATACTGTAATATTCTGACAGAACTCAAAACTGAGTTAGAGTCTTAAACTTAATAAGTAGCCTAGTTAGGCTTCAAGCCACACACAAGGCTTTTCTTTGATCCCAGATACCCTGTTCCTTTTGATTCCCCCTCCTTTGTGCTCAATCTTCTCATCACCTTTCAACCACATTCCTTCTGACCTAACTGCAATTTTGAATCGGGAGAGGGAAGGCAGAAGAGAAAGGGAATGCAGTCAGTTCAAATGCATTCCTCTAATTGTTTTTTCAGGCTCAGAGTATGAAGCCCTTCTATAGATAATCTTTGGAACTAGACTTTGCTGTTAATTCAGAGTGGAAGAGAGAAGAGGAGATGGAGAAAATGAAGGATCTACTCCTTCCTCACAAATCCCCACTTTCTGACCCTTGAACTCAACAAGTAAATACAACATCTGGTGAAACAAAGATGATAATATATAAAATAGTAAAAAGGTAGAGAAAAAACTAAAAAGCTTAAAATTATACACAGATGTAAACTCTTTTCAAAAAAATGAAATTTCATGTATTAAAGAAATCAGAAAGAAGAGGAAACACAGGCAGATAAAAGCCAACTCTCAATTATCCATGCTAATGGAGAGAGAAGGGAAAGGGAGAGGTCAAATAGATTAAAGAAATTCATGTATGATCCAAAAATATTTTGGTAAATACTTGTAAATTCTCCCACCAAACCTTTTCCAGGTCAACTGACATGTGGTAAAATGACTAATTAAAATTTTCACCTCCTCTCCCTTCACACCCTCGGACAAGAGGTATTCCCAAGCAGCAAAATGGCTAAAGGGTGGGCAGTATTAGGAGGGAGAGAAAGGGAAGAGAAGGCAAAGCAAGGGGCATCGTTAATTCATAAATGGAATAAAGTGCCTGAATAATTGAGAGCTTCAACTTGGAAATAAATACAAGAAAAAGCCTGAAATAATAATAGCCCATTTGCATACCTGTAACTTGGTCTTTCACCCAAATATAAGGATAAATTCATTCTTTAAAGGGGAAAAAAGGAAAAGGAGACTAAATAAATGTTATCCTTTAACTATGAAACTGATGCATCAACTTAACAACTAGTTTCCCCACAATATTGTCCCAAGGCTTCTAAGGTACTAATCTGTTTCTAAGTGCCTCTGAATGCAAGCCATTATTTACTACTTTATTATCTAGCATATAAATTTCCTATTACCAGTTCTCAAATTAGAATCTAGGCTCATTGATCATTATTTCTACAGCAACCGAATTCAAAAGTTCACGGTAAATAAAAGAAAGAACACATTAATATTTGAATGTTTCAACCATGTTAGCCTGACAACTAAATACTGTTTCTAAGGGACAATTTCCAAATTTCTACAGTGTGTATCTCCAACTGAAAGATCTCAAAATTCCATGATAATCTAAACCTTCAAACTATGCTGAAAAAGCAGCACCCCATTTTATGTTAAGTAAAATGAGGGACAGTGAAGCACACAACATGAAGCTAATGGATCCTTAGTATCAATTCAAATATTGCCACTCAGTTTAAAAACATGCTTAAGTTATCACATGGAAATGCACTGAATTTTTCCTTTAGCTTTATTTCACATCAAAACACAAAAATAAAAAACAAATGAATTATAACATATTTTATGAAATGTTTCTATCACCTACATTAAAATGTAAAAGATAATTTCTGTTCCTTTCTATTCTTTAGGCAGGACTATCTTCACATGCACTCAATTAAGGCTTGATTGAGGCCTGCCCCTCAGTCTTCCACCATCTCCATAGGACAAAGAGTTATAATGATCTGAAAATAACTTAATAAGAATTCTTTATCATTTTATTTTATCGACTTTTTTAAGTAAATTAAGATATTGTTCTTGCTTCTTAAAAGCAGAACATCTATTTTTTACTTTTTCTGAATCTCAAAATAGGTGAAATAATGACTCAGATATCAAAAAAGTTATAATGCCTACTTAGAAGGCAATATACATATCAAATACCATTATAAAGAACCTCTAAGGGGCTGTCACTTTTAGGAAGTGCATTATTTTGTTATTGAACTGTGCTTCAAGTAAGTGAAACATCTGCTAAATTGTGGTAGTCTTCAGTTAAACATAGATTACATTGGAACAGGATTTGACCTGAGTACATAAAGCTCGCCTAACCAAATGCAAAAAAACATAACCAACTGAACAAACAGTTAACACCATTTTTACGTCTATGGTCAGGATGCCTGAGTACAGAGATGTTGTTATTAAGATAAAAGACTCAGGAAGTTGCTACACAATAGGAAGACTGTTCAAAACTATGTTATACTACGTCATAAAAAAATCAGGGGTGGTATGACTAATGGCTTACTTATGTGCAATTGTTGTTAACCGTTCATCGTTTACTGCTCTCCGAACTTCAGCACGGTGGCGTTCTGTTGAGATGCTATGAAAAAAAATAGCCATTATAGAACTCTGCCAGGCAGGCAGCTCTTTTCTATACTTTCATTAATGTTTAAGTCAACATTTTATTTGGAGGGAAGGGAGCAAAACTGCTTTGTGAAAAGATATAGACAAGAGCCTAATATATATCTTCATATGCTATAATGTCTTAGAAAAGGATTCATACTAATTCCATTTAACTGTAGAAAGAATTAGTTGCAAATGAGAAACCACAGCAAGACAAATTCACCCTGATATCAAGGCATTTGTTCCAAATCTCAGAAATGTCAGACCATGGACAAGATTAGCAGAGCTTCCTGTTATCTAAACAAGCAAACAGAAACTGAATGACCTCTTAATCATGACTGCTCAGAAGAGGATTTTGGCGCTCAGAAGAAAGTCTTCTAAGGTCCTTTCTAAAGCTTATGAGTCCATAAGTTTATGTTCAGTGAATATAATAATCAATGAGAGTGGCAAAATAATCTGTTTCTTGTGACTATATGCCATGAAACTTAACTCCAGGCTAATCCTCCTGTATTACTTAACATTTCAGCTGTGTCTTCTACATTATATTATGTTACCAATAGTAAAAACGGTGCTATGTTGATTCTAATTAAATGCATGCAAAGTTAATAATACTAAACAACTAAAAAAAGGCTGCACTCATTCCATTCATAAATATGCAACAAAATGAGTACCACTCTTCCTATTGTGTTCTTCATTACTAAAACTAAATATATACCATGGACTAAAACATTTAAGGGACAGAAAGCAGAATGTATAAGGAAACAAAAAAATAAACAGAAAATATAACTCGATAACTATGAAAGCAGTAATACTGAGAATTTGGCTTAATAATATCCCCATATTGATGTTAATAAAATAAGAGAAAAAGCATCTTCCTATTTTCACTTAAAAAAAGAATAGGACAAAACTGTTTTAGAAACTTTAATTAAAACAGAACATTTTCTGAGAAAGCTCAAGATGTTAGAAAGGATCAAAGCAAAAAAAAATCAAGGAACATCTTTCACTAGAACTTTTCTGCTGGATTCAAATACCATGCTAGTAGGAAGCTGAAGGGACAGGCTATGCTTAAGGGTATGACCATACAATCATGACCCACTTATATAAATTAAGGTATCTTGTTTGCATCCCCTTCTTCTCTCCCAACAAATGCCACTCTAGATCTTGATATCCAGTTGCTGCCAGCTCTTTTTTCATTCACTTATGTCACAAGCACTTCCTTTTCGCAGGTGGCCCAAACTAAACAATTTGCCTTAAATTCTTCTGATCAGATTACAGAATAAATGGCAAGTTATACAATTTTCGGTAGCAGAGCACACAACTGGGATGGGATCCCTAAACAACAACAGTTTGAACACCTTTATTCTTGAACTTAATTTGAAAGTTACTTAATTTGAGAATGAAAAGTAACAAAACCCCTCAAAATGAAATTTCTAGAATCACATCTCACAAACTTTTATGATAATTTACCTAAGAACTTTTGAGAGTTCTCCAAGAAGATCTTTCTTTTCCTTGGTGAGATCTCCCTGTGCCCGAAGTGCACTGATAACTCCAGCATATGCCTCCAATTCTAGAAGAAGAAAATTATTTAATCAAGATAGGCCTTTACTATTTTAATACGATGGCTATGTATAGTAAAACTTTGGGGGAAACAAAGCTAAAAATAAATCAAATGCAAATATTGTTTTAAATTTCTTTCAAAACTTTTACCTAATAACAGAAAAAATATGGCTTTTATAATATAATTTTATATCACTTTGTTTTTCATTGCCTTACAGAAGTCAGGTATGTCAAACATTTAGGGAGAAAAAAAATCTAACATTTTTTTTTACACATCAAGACTAAAATATATATAATTCAAATGCTACCAACAACTGGGAATGGACTCCAAGTGATACAGTAAGGTTGACAGAAGTCTTTAGCACTGTTGAAAGGTACTTTAACCAACACTTAGGCCTAAGAATTCAAACTATATTTCACCTCCCTCCTGGATAGATGAGAATACTGAGTATCAGGCAACCAAAAACATACTGGAACAAAAGAATTTGGCTCTAGCACTGCCACATACTAGCTGCGTGACCTTAAGCAAGCCCCTTCTCATTTCTGAACCTGTTTCCTGACTTAGGAAGAACTTTGGAGGTACCTTTGAGAAGATCCTTTGTAGCTATAAAAACTATCATCAATGGCTCGGCGCCTGTGGCTCAAGCAGCTAAGGCGCCAGCCACATACACCTAAGGTGGCGAGTTCGAATCCCCAGCCCAGGCCCGCCAAACAACAATGATGGCTGCAACCAAAAAATGGCCAGGTGTTGTGGCGGGCGCCTGTGGTCCCAGCTACTTGGGAGGCTGACGCAGGAGACTTGCTTGAGCCCAGGAGTTGGAGGTTGCTGTGAGCGTGATGCCATGGCACTCTAACCAGGGGGATAGCTTGAGGCTCCGTCTCAAAAAAAAAAAAAAACTATCATCAAAATAACTAATTAGGAAAAATGAAATGTTCTTACAGCAACCAGAACATAATATACTGAATCTTGATACCAGACAGCTTCATTTCACTCTGACAATTCTGAAATAAAACTGTCAGTCCCTAGTACAAGTCAAACTAAAAAGCCAAAAGTCATTAATGGCCTCCAATGAACCTTGCATGCCTCCTAGTGTAGCCCCAGTCTACTACCTTTAAGGTATCTCCTCCCACAATAACTCTAGGTTCCACCTGTAATTTGCTTTGGCCAATCAGAAGTTTGATAAGTACTTGCACACTGGGCCTGGCTCTCTTGGAACTCTGAAATCACCAGGCTGTAAAGAAGCCCAGAATGAAAGGCCACAGGAAGAGAGAGGCTCAGCTATATTAGCTGAGTCTAGTCCCCAACTAAGCTACTAACTGAATGCCTGAGAAAGCTCAGTCAAGACCAGCAACTCACACAATAGTAAAAAATGATAACTGTTGTTGTTTTAAACAATTAAGAAACAGATATATCTGATTAAAAGAGAACAGAAATAAACCTCCAGACTAGAGATATCATCATACTTTACTTGCTATCTGCTAATTTGCTATTTGCCAATGCCTGACACACAAGAGACAATAAATGTTAGCTAAATAATGAACATATGAGTGCCCTAAGACTAGATACTAGAGTAGCCTTATTATTCACACTTTTTTTTTTTTGAGACAGAGCCTCAAGTTATCCCCCTGGATAGAGTACCATGGCATCACAGCTCACAGCAACCTCCAACTCCTGGGCTCAAGCGAGTCTCCTGCCTCAGTCTCCCAAATAGCTGGGACCACAGGCACCTGCCACAACGCCTGGCTATTTTTTGGTTGCAGCTGTCATTGCTGTTTTTGGCGGCCCCAGGCTGGATTTGAACCCCCCACCTTAGGTGTATGTGGCTGGTGCCTCAGCCACTTGAGCCACAGGCGCGGAGCCTATTCACACTTTTGACTGTCAAAGGAAGCTTCTTTCTACAGAAGAGTGGCCTGGTACATTGAATGTCTGGTCCAATTGAATTACCCTAAATGTATACAGAAAGAGATATCCTGCATGCTCAATCTGTATTGTATACTATGTAGACATTTCATGGAGTCTCTCTTAAAGGACAAAGCTCTGCTGCCCCAAGTAGTAAAGGAAATACTTCCAGGAAACATATTAAACTTTCATCAGACCCTGAATAGAGTTCAGAAAGGCACTAGGGATAACCAACTAAGAATTCACTATAATCTGTTTATGACTCCATTTGTGGAACATTTTATTCAACATATCAGTATTGAGTCCTATTATAAACTCCAAATGCCATCCTAAATCCTGCCCTCAAGGAGTTAACTCTTGAATGGAGAAGCTACAGTGAAACCAGTCATCAGACAATTATGATACAGTGTACATACAATGGTAAAGACACAGAGGAGAAACCCATCATCCAGTCTGGAAGCACTAGCTTTAGAAAGAGAATGGTGCTCCAGGCAGGCAGGGGAGCAATGTAATGTAAATGTAAATGTGCAAATGTACAAAAGGAAAAGGGTAAAAGAACAAATAATGTTTCATGTTATTTTAGTAACTTCCAATAGTAGTCAGTGAGTTTTACATTAAGGGAAATAAAAATATGTCCACATTTGGATAGTCAGTAATTCTAACCAAGCTACTAATTAAACATTACTATTTCAGTAATTCTAACCAAACTAATTAAACATTACTATTACTACAAGGTGTCATGGAGAATATTTATAGAACAAAAGTCCCTATCCTCAAGGTGATTAAAACCCAACAAGGTATATATATATATATATATATATTCACAGATGTAAGGGAATAGAGAAAGACAAAAATGGAAATAATCTATGGCCAAACTGAGAAAAACTTCTACGACCAGCCTAAAAAGTTTTTGACAGGACTCTGTAATTGATTGAATGTAGAAGTAACTGCAGAAGGAAAAGAGTCAGGTTTTGCAGCTTCAAAATATTTAAGACAAATGGAAAGGTCAAAGAGAGGAAGTCCTTTGAGGAAAAAAGAAAAGAAGTTTACTTTCAACCTGTGAATTTATGATGATCAAGACACCATTTCAAAGAAAATAAACTAAAGAAATATGACAAATACTTATGACATTTTAAGTCTCATTTCAAGTCAACCTTAGAAATCAGGTACAAAATTAAGAGATGGCACCTCACACACACACACACAACTGGGACTCAGAACACAGTTACCACAGCTACAGCAACCACAGCACTTTCTTTCACCAAAAATTCACTCATTGTAAAGAATCTCTAGTAGCTTCCCAACCTCCTTCACATTTTTTGATGTCAATTTTGATGAATATCCTTAGATACTGACATAATTCACACTTAAGTGTATTTTGGTATCTTAAATCAATAACACCTAAGCAGAATGAAATAACAAACTCATCAGAGCACCCCAAAAACGAAAGATTTGGCAAACCATTTTTATAAAGTCCACAAACCATTCCATTTAAACAAAATCAGCCATTCAATTATACCATAGTCCATAAAGTCCCATGTTACAGTTACAGTTCAGGAAAGATGATAAAAATAGGGCAGGGGAAAAGCAAGATAAAAGAAAGCATTTATCTATGACTAGTATGTTCTGTGTATCATAAAATTCTCTATACCAATTTCTTTATACTTAAACAAAATTTAACTGTTTAGCATAGGGTGACCAGACGTCCCGCTTTTGAACAATTTGTCCCTCGTCCCGCCGAGTTTTTAAACCGATTTTTGGAAAGAATGCACAAACGGGCGGGAGAACAAGAAGGGAATATACGGTTTTCGGCTGCCATGTGGCTATTTCACCAGAATATGAGTTTTATCTTATTTTTGTTAATTTTATAATGTTAAACTGTAATAACAACAAATAATTGCTAAGAAGTGATTCTCAAGAACTGCTTATCAAAGTTTGCATTGTTGTCCGGCCCTGCCCTGCCCCGTCCCCTGCCCCGCCCCCACCCCGCCCCCCGGCCATGTTGTCCCGCCTTACCGATGTCAAAATCTGGTCACCCTAGTTTAGCACCTTATATTAAAATGACTTCTAACTATTTTTAAAAGGCCAAAGCCAATGCTTAAAATATTCTAAGCTAATTTTTATTTTTTATTTATTTATTTATTTATTTAGAGACAGAGCCTCAAGCTGTCCCCCTGGGTAGAGTGCCGTGGCATTACAGCTCACAGCAACCTCCTACTCCTGGGCTCAAGCGAGTCTCCTGCCTCCGCCTCCCAAGTAGCTGGGACCACAGGTGCCCGCCACAACGCCCGGCTATTTTTTGGTTGCAGCGGTCATTGTTGTTTGGCGGGTCCGGGCTGGGGATTCGAACCTGCCACCTTAGGTGTACGTGGCTGGCGCCTTAGCCGGTTGAGCTATAGGCGCCGAGCCACTACTTTTTAAATACAGTACTTTAGTCTCTAAAGTTTGGGCCCACAGCTAGCATTAGAAGGCAATTCAAAAGTTTTGTTGTTATGATAATGAACCAAAGGAAGGGGAGGCAATCTTTCTGCAAATCTATCAAGGCTTACTTCCCAAAGGCAAGGGTCAATGAAGATGACATTACCATGTAGGATAGACATTTTCTTTGGTACAGAAGCAGCTGCTCTCTAGCAGAATTACCCACACAGCTGTGATTAAAATTAAGGATAAATTTAGTCTTAAAGATTACTATTTTTATATTTAGACATAATTTCTTGTTTCAAGGCCCCAAAAACCCAAAAACCCCAATTCAATCTACTGTCTTTGTGATCTGGTCTTCTGCAGTTACTTCAGCTATGAAATAAATACAAGTCCAAAATTATAATCAGCATTTACTGGGTCATATGGTTATACTAATTGCATGTAAAAGTATAGAAAACTATCTTCAGATTAGTACTAAAACTCTGGATATAAGATCAAAACATAAAAATTAAAAAAGATGAAGGAATGATTAACATCCCCCTATCCAGAAACCTGCTAAAATACAATGCTAAGAAGTGGTTTAAAATATGGGGGCAGGGGGTGGATAAAAAGGGCAGGCAGGGCCAGAGTAGCTATGATTCTCAACAAATCATATGAATCCTCAACAAAAATTTCCTTGGAAGAAAAGATTCAGCTGCAAATAAATAAATGTCTAAAAGCAGCTGCTTGCAATGTTATATACTCATAAGTCAGGTACATAAGCCCTTTATATGTACTGTTAATACACATAACAAACTAATGAGGCAGATATTACTACTCTTTTTTTTTTTTTGGCTGGGGCTGGGTTTGAACCCACCACCTCTGGCATGTGGAACTGATACCCTACCCTTTTGGGCCACAGGCACTGCCCATACTACTCTTTTTTTAAAATTTGAGACGAAGTCTCACTTTGTTGCCCCGGTAGAGTACCATGGCATCATAGCTCATAGCAACCTCAAACTCTGGGGCTCAAGGGATCTCCTGCCTCAGTCTCCCAAGTAGCTAGAACTACAGGTGCCTGACAAAATGCCCAGCTGGTTTTTCTATTTTTACCATGTTTCCCCGAAAATAAGACACTGTCTTATATTTATTTTCTCTCAAGAAGACACACTAGGGCTTATTTTCAGGGGATGTCTTATTTTTATTAAGTATAACATACAACAATCTACATTTATTCAAATATAGTTAAGTCATCTTCTTCTGGAACCTGACAGGGGGAGCCAACCTTGTTGGTGGGGCTGGCGATAGTGATGCGTGAATTCCTTTCCCCTAGCTGTTTGCACAAGAGCAATAGGATACCTGCAACCACAATTACCACACTCCCAAGTGTGAATGCTCCAGGAGAAAGGAGCTGTGGCAGATAAAAGGTATTCCAGTTTTCCTTACTGCTCTGCGCTGAAATGCATGGAGTAGCTATGCAAATAAGCTGCATAGCCAGCCCATCACTAGGTCTTCTTATTGGGGTAGGGCTTATATTTAACAAATACATAGAAATCCTGCTAGGGCTTATTTTTGGGCTAGGTCTTAGTTTCGGGGAAACACAGTAGTAGAGATGGGGTCTCGCTCTTGCTCAGGCTGGTCTCCAACACCTGAGCTCAGGCAATCCAACCACCTTGGCCTCCCAGAAAGCTAGGATTACAGGCACAGACACGAGCCACCTACTATACTAGTCTTCTTTTACAAACATGTCAACAGATTTAGGAAGATTAAATAACTTGTCCTTAGTCATATAGGTCATTAGTAATTGTACCAAAACCCCAACTCTGCCTAAATTTAAGATCCAAACTGTCCCCTTTACAATCATAGCTATCTAAGTAATTCATATCAACAGCAAACGCATTTACTCTTCTTTGCCCATTATTTTGTTCATTTATTTCATTTATTGTGCTAGCCATAAGCTACAGCAGTAAATAAGACAACAAGGTCCTTACAATCTAAGGCAGTACTTCTCACCCAAAGATCTTCATCTGAATCATAGAACACCAAAAAATGATTTGATTAATAACTCTTTTCTCAATTTTTCCAAGAACAGTACATAACTAACACCATCCTAGAGGCACCAAGAGAAGTTAGTTCATTGCATACAACAGATACCTTAGCATGAGGGCTTAATTCTTTCCCTAAATGGTTTGAGAAAAGCTGCTATAAGGGTAAAGAAGCACTTAATATTATAAGCATGAAGTATGCTTTATCATTGTAATGACAGTAAAACATAATTTGGGAAAGTAAGCATACTTTACATTCACTTAGAATTCAGAAAACAGTATTTAGTTCATATATATGCTCATGAAAGTTAAGAGTATATTAAAGTGAGACTGAAATCATATTCCCTGGGTTCAAATACTGATTCAATTACTTATTAACATTACTTTGGCTTCTAGGCTTCATCTGTAAAATGCAGACAAAAAAAAGGAAACCTGGCTCGGTGACTATAGCTCAGTGGCTAGGGCGCCAGCCACATACACCAGAGTTGGCCGGTTCAAGCCTAGCCCGCGCCTGCCAAACAACAATGACAACTACAACCAAAAAATAGCCAGGGCGTTGTGGCAGGCACCTGTAGTCCCAGGTACTTGGGAAGCTGAGGCAAGAGAATCACTTAAGCCCAAGAGTTAAGTTTGCTGTTAGCTGTGACACCATGGCACTCTATGGTGGGTGAGAGACTGTCTAAAAAAAAAAAAAAAAAAAAAAAGGAAACCTTCTGTTTAGGTTTGAGTAGGGATTATATGAGATGTTGACTATAAAGGATTCAAAATAGCCAGGTAGCCCTCAGTAACTCTTAACTACTACTATTATCATTATGATTCATGCACCTACTGTATACAAAGCACTGACTGTACTAGGCATTGGGAAAACACTAAGTAAGATGGAGACTATAGCTCCAAAGAACTTCTCATGTAGCATGAGATATGATATCCATGCAAATAGCAATGATCCAAACAGAAATAGAAAAGTACCACGGAGAGGTAAAAAATATTGAAAATGAAAATCATACCCAATTTTCGAAGAATCCTTTTGCATTCATCCCTGCTGAGATCCAAAAGGGTTGGCCACACAACAGGCATTGCTGCTTCTGTTTGGTAGCCCCAAAGAGCTTCTCCTCCCTACCAGAACAAAACAAAGAAAAAAATCAAATTACCAATGTACATACAAGGCCACTCACCTGGAGACCCATCCACGGACTAAGAAGTAAAAACTGATAAACTACTTCACAATCCTTTTTCACTACACTTTCCAACTTCTGAAAAATCAAGAATTAATCAACCATATGTGAGCTCACTATTCAAGCCTATGACAGTGAAAAGGGCACAGGCTTTGGAGACAGTCACCTTCAAGTTTTAGTTCCAGCTTTTCAACTTACTGGCTATGTGACTCTAAGTAAACTGGTCACTCTGAGCCTAAGTTTTACACATCTATAAAACAGAGGTAATGCCACAAAATTCGTTGTAAGTACTGAAGAACAGTTATGCAAAGTTATTTTAAAGTGGTTGAATTTTAAAATTTGAGATGCTACTACCTCTGTAACCTTGAGCAAGTTACTTGACGTTTGCTTCCTCGCTTATTAGATAAAATATGTAAAGCTCCTAGCACATTAGTTGGGGCAACAGAATGTAATAAAGGACCCTATCTGCAAGTCTTAAAAATAAAATATGGATTTAGACTAGTCATTAAACAACCCTTTCCAAAAAGTTTAGTTGCCAAAATCTTACTTTGTACTGGGAATTCTCTAACTTAGAAAACAAAAAGACACTTCGCTGGGGGATTGCACAATACCTGCTTAGCACACATAAACCTGCTGTAAATATTTGTTAAACGGGTAAACGAATGGTTGAAAAGTAAAAAGAATGAATGAATAAATGAACGAGCACTGCTTATCCTAGGAGTCAGATATCGAATCTAAATAACTGCTACATGCTAACTCCAGCTCTACTCTCCGAGTTGAGCACCCCCTCCCCCTACTTCCCATAGTCCTCTCAGCTCGGAACCAACTCAAAGTAAGGACAATTGGACTGCGCGCCCCAGTCAGTAGGATGACATAAAGAAAAGGGGTGGGGAGGATGAAGGGGTAGAGCTAAAGGAATCTGCTCCCTCCACAAGCCAGTCCCCGCCTCCCGACAGAATCCTGAAGGCAGCCGGCTACCGCCGACCTCCCGAATCAAGAACCACGTCACGGCATCCCGATGCATCCCCGCCAGCGGACCCTACTGCCGGGTTGCTTCGCATCAGAAACCGGGCGGTGTTGCCGGACCCGCTCCAGCAACCAGGATCTCGTATAATCCTGCCCCACTCAAGTGTCAAGGAGGCAAGCCCGCCCCGCCCCCTCTCCAAACACGCACTCGCTTGCAGCAGAACCACAAGAGCAGCCCGCCCAGGCGCCTCACCCGGGCCTCTCAGCACCGGTCCCAATGTCAAGCCCACGACCCAAGCCCCCTCCGGGCCAGCAGCTGGTGTCAGGGGCCCCAGCCAGCATCCACGCTTTGCTCCCTTCTCAGCAGAGAGAGACAACAGAGACAGAGTAGGCGCGCGGACAGCCAGTCAAACGACCTGAACTCATCGGGAGCCTCCCAGAGCTGGACGCCCGGGGTCCCAACATCAGGCCTGCCAGAATCCCCCTCAGTCCACCTCCAGGAGCCCTATGATCCCGTTAGGAAACAACGGAGGATGGGACTGGGCGCCCCGAGCCCGGCTCCGAATGCATGGCCCAGCGCTCCCCTAGCCTGGGCGGCCTGCCAGCTTTTCCCAGGACCTTGCCTGAGAGTCACTCACCTGCCCGGCCTTTCGGGGCTCATCTAAAAGGCTCCTCCGCCAAGACTAGGGAACAGCAGGAATTGGGTTTGTTTGCGGTGCCTCAGAAGGGGCAAGATGGCGACAGATATTAGAGCGCAAGCGCAATCGCGCGCTGCCAGTCGGGAGATGTAGTTCGCCTTTCCCGCCTTTCGGAGAACGGACACGAAAAGTCCTCCATTCATCCTGTCCCTCTTTTCCTCCGCGTAAAGAAAGAAAACGACCGACAGCGCGAGGCATGCTGGGAGCTGTGGTCTGAATCCAAACTCCAACCTGTTTCGCTCCAGCTTTGCGGTCGCACGCGCAAGGAAGGCTGGGATTGTAGTTTCCTTGGCTGAGCCTACATACCCTCTTCTCGCGGGCTTCGCGCGCCTCTTCTCGCCTATCGTCTCTCAGCCAATCGGCTGCGCTCTTTGCGTCACACGTAGTGGTCAAAATGGCGTCGGGAGGTGGAGTAGGGACGTTGTAGCAGTCTTTACTCTGCCGAGGTTAGGGATGTTAGGACGCGTCTTTGTCACTGAGCGCCAGTGAAGATTAGGATCAAGTTCCTCAGGGTCATGAGGTCAATTATTAGTGGCCTCCAGCCCTCCAGACGGCAATTGGAGGAAAGGTAATCTACGCTAAGAGAACTAGACACTGGACGTCGCAGTTGCCAGTACCCGCTCTGAAGGTTACGGAGTTGCAAATAGAGAATGGGGAACCGGTGCCTTGACTGGGAATGGTAGTGATATCTTGTGCTCAATCTGTCAAAGGCAAGAAGGAGGAGGGATTTATTTGAGGCCCCTACGACCTGGTACGTTTACCCTCAGCCTTTGTTCTTATTTTATCACAATTTTGTGGAGAAGATCTTGTCGCCCCTGTTATACAAATGAGAAAAGGATCCCAAAACATAGTTACTCGCGGTCATAAAATTGAAATCAATGTCCAATATTGTTGAAGATTCTGTAAAGTTTTGTGGTTGTCCTCTTTAAATTTTGTACTTTCTGTAACATTGGGTCTGGTCGGAATACTAAAGTCAAAAAGGAGGAGTTTTTTGTTTGTTTTATGTGTATGTGTGATTTTATTTTTGAGAGAAGAGCCGTACTCTGTTGCCCCGGGCTAAAGGTTGCTCACCGCAACCTCAAACTCTGGGGTTCAAACGATGCCCCTGCCTCAGCCTCCCTGAGTAGCTGGGACCTCAGGCGCCCACTACCACGCCCGGCTAGTTTTTGTTTGTTTTCTTTTGTTCAGTTGAGAGGGACTCTTCGCTGTAGCTCAGGCTGGTCTTGAACTCCTTAACTCAGGGGATCCTCCCGCCTCCGACTCCGCCTCCTGGAGTGCTGGGGTTACAGACTTGAGCCACTGAACCTGGCCTCTGACGTCAAAAGGAGTTTTTAATATGCATTCTGCTATTATCACACATAGTTTCCTTCTCCAAAAATGGGGTTAATAGTACCCTAAAAGAATGTTGTGAGACACAACATAGATGAAAGTGCTTTAGAAATTGTGAACCACGGCTCGGCACCTGTGGCTCAAGTGGCTAAGGTGCCAGCCACATACACCTAAGGTGGCGGGTTCGAATCCCCAGCCCGGCCCGCCAAACAACAATGATGGCTGCAACCAAAAAAATGGCCGGGCGTTGTGGCGGGCGCCTGTAGTCCCAGCTACTTGGGAGGCGGAGGCAGGAGACTTCGCTTGAGCCCAGGAGTTGGAGGTTGCTGTGAGCTGTGATGCCACAGCACTCTACCCAGGGGGACAGCTTGAGGCTCTGTCTCAAAAAAAAAAAAAAAAAAAAAGAAATTGTGAACCACTATACAAACATGTAAGACTATTCAGGTTTTTGCATGAACTGGTAGGATAAAAAGAAAAAGTAAGTAACAGCATTTACATTTCATACTCCTATTTGTCCATTAGCTTAAAATACTTTGTGAGGTCCAGGAAAATTAGTATCATGGAAACCCAAACCTCTACCTTCATAATATCGTGGAATGGGACAAATTCATTTGCAGACTTTCTCCAGTCTTTTAGTGGATCCTGTTTTCAGGCCAGTGCTTTCATCTTAGTAGAAGATTTTATACTTTAACATGCGTTTTTTTTGTTTTGTTTTGTTTTGTGCCTTGCAATATCCCTGACAGGTATAATTAAGGTTTCCCATACTATATGTTCCTGATATTCAGGAATTTATTCAGGTAGGAAGTGGAAGAGAGCCGGGCATGATAACCCCAGGTCTTCTAATCTCGAAGTGCCTGTTCATCTACAGTAAAAGTCAAAATGACAGGTAATGGAGTAGAAATGGAAAGACAAAGGGCCTACAAAACCAGCCCTGAACATAAAAAATAGCATATGAGTGATAAATTATTATAGCTAATCCTTATGCTTAGTAGTGCCAAGCACTCTTCTAAGCATTTTCCATATTAACTCGGCCTTTAGAACAACTTTATGTGGTAGAAAGTTTTATTATCCCTAAATACAAATGAGGCAGCTGAAGCCTAAGGAAGTAAAATAGCTTGCCTAAAATCACTTAAGTAAATGATAAAGCCTGTATTTAAACCTAAACAGTTTGGCTCTAGAGCTATGCTGTGTGGTTCTCAAACTTTAATTCTCTCAGTAGAAACCACTTAAAGTCTTGTTAAATGCAAATTGTGATTGTGCAGATGTGGAATAAGGCCTGGGTCCTATTTTTTTCTTTTCTTTTTTTTTTTTTTTTTGAGACAGGTCTCACTTTGTTGCCCTTGGTAGAGTGCCCTAGTGTCACAGCTCACAGCAACCTCAAACTCTTGGGCCCAAGCGATTCTCCTGCCTCAGCCTACCAAGTAGCTGGGACTATAGGCGCCCACCACAACGCCCAGCTATTTTTTTGTTGCAGTTGTCATTGTTTAGCTGGCCCATGCTGGGCTGAACCCACCAGCCTCTGTGTATCCTATATTTCTTTTTCTTTCTTTTTCTTTTCTTTCTTTTTTTTTTTTTTGTAGAGACAGAGTCTCACTTTATCACCCTCCGTAGAGTACTGTGGCATCACACTGCTTACAGCAACCTCTAACTCCTGGGCTTAGGCGATTCTCTTGCTTCAGCCTCCCAAGCAACTGGGACTATAGGCGCCTGCTGAAACACCCCACTATTTTTCTGTTGCAGTTTGGCTGGGGCTGGGCTTGAACCCGCCACCCTCAGCATTTGGGGCCAGCAGCCTACCCACTGAGCCACAGGCACTGCCTGTATCTTATATTTCTAATAGGTTCCCAAGTGATATTGATGCTGCTGACCACTACATACATCTTCCATTTTCTTCTAACATGTTTCTTTTGCAACCATAAACAACCTACCTCTCTGACTGTTTCATAATCCCAAATGTTCCAGACATTCTCTTTAAGGATCAGACTCAAACTTTGCAGTAATGGTTACCCTGCCCATACCTTTCCCTCTATGTCCTAGAGTCTAGGACGTGGCATATATTCCCAACTCTACTTCTGCGCCACTTAGGGCATACCTTGTTACAGAGCTCAGAACACTAAATTATGGTCATTTGTTTGAAAATCTTCCTGACTAGACGATGAGCTCTTTAAGGAGAGGGGCCAACAAAGTCTGTGCAGTCTAGAGTCTAAGCACATAGTAGGAATAGCTAATATTTATCTAGGACTTTCTATCTTCCAGATGGTGTTACATTAAGTTGTGTAATCCCTACATTAACCTTATGCCATTATCCTGACTTCATGGATGAAGTAACTAAGGCACAGAAGAGTTAAATAGGGAGACTGGGCACCATGGCCTGAGCAAGAGCAAGAACTGCCTCCCTCTAAAAATAGCCAGGGGTTGTAGTGGGTACCTGTATTCCCAGCTACTCGGGAGACTGAGGCAAGAGAATTGCTTGAGCCCATGAGTTTGCGGTTGTTGTGAGCTATGACGCCATGGCACTCTGCCAAGGGCGACAAAGTGAGACTCTTTATCTCAGAAAAGAAAAGCTAAATAGGTAACAAGCTAGTAAGTACCTTGTTTCCCCCCAAATAAGAACTGTCTTATATTTATTCTCAAGAAGACACACTAGGGCTTATTTTCAGGGGATGTCTTCCGCTCCATGCTGAAATGCATGGCATGGCTGTGCAGATATGCTGCACAGCCATGCCCATCATAGAAATCCTGCTAGGGCTCATTTTTGGGGTAGGTCTTATTTTCGAGGAAACACAGTAGCAGAGCCCTGATTTCAAATGAAGGCATTTTGGCTCCCAAAAATGTGTAGTAAATAAAAGAAGAAAAACTAAGACAGTATGCCACTAGCCATAAGTATAACTACCTCTCATCTTGGAAAATGTATAAGAGTACAATAAGTATAAAACCTATCTCAAACTTATTCCTTTATTAACTAAGCAGGTTAACCTTAAAAAAAATTATTCAAGATGACTTCTATTCATTCTGTTTAATTTTGTAGTGAAGGTAGATCTTAACATTATCATCTTCGGTTTCTGTTAAGCTCCTGTGGTATTATATAGCTGGGCAAATTGAAATGGATAAAACTTTAGAGATTTTTTGTTTGTTTGTTTGAGATAGAGCCTCACTGTCGCCCTCAGTAGGTGCTGTGGCATCATAGCTCACAGCAAGCTCAAACTCTAGGGCTTAAGCGATTCTCTTGCCTCAGCCTCCCAAGTAGCTGGGACTACAGGCACCTGCCGCAGTGCCTGGCTATTTTTTTGTTATTGTTCAGCTGACCCAGGCCAGGTTTGAACCCACCAGCCTTGGTGCATGTGGCCGGTGCCATGTGCTAGGGGCACCGAGCCTAGAGATTTATTTTCTACATTAAAAAAAAAAAAAAAAAGAGGGGGTGGTGCCTATGGCTCAAAGGAGTAGGGTGCCAGCCCCATATGCCAGAGGTGGTGAGTTCAAACCCAGCCCCAGCCAAAAACTGCAAAAAAAAAAAAAAAAAAAAAACAGAGGTTCAAGTGAGTTGTTAATCAAATTAACGCAGGAATTTTGTAGTGGGACTGGGACTAGAACCCATCTCTTTTGACTTTTTTTTTTTTTTTTGATCTTGCAGTTCCCATTTAACATTAGGTTCACTTGGGGCATGGTGGCTCACACCTGTAATCCTAGCACCCTGGGAGGCTGAGGCAGGTGAATTGCCTGAACTCAAGAGTTCAAGACCCCATCTCTACTAAAAAAAATAGAAAAACTAGCTAGGAGTGGTGATGCATGCCTATAGTCCCAGCTGCTGGGGAGGTTGAGACAAGGGAATTGCTCAAGCCCAAGAGTTTGAGGTTGCTGGGAGCTATGATGTTATGGCACTCTACACAGGGCAACAGAGTAAGACTGTCAAAAAAAGAAAAAAAATGGGTGATGCCTGTAGC